GTGATGGAAACCCATAGCCATGAAAGCTTCGAGAGAGAAGTGAATCCGATGTCGACGTGTCATATCCATCGTGTACCCAAGCCATCGGCATTCAGATCATCTCTGTCGACGTTTCCACCTAAGTTTGTGAGTTTGTTATTCGGTTTCCTCCGTCATCGCCACTATTTTGATCACTTTGTCAAGGACTCAACGCCGCCGTTGTTTGTTGCACTTCCCTCGATGAAGTGATAGAAAGAGGTGGAGGGGAAACAGATATGGGAAGAAGAACTAGAGAAGAAAGAAGAAGATAAGGAGAAAATCAAAGGATAAAAGGGAAGAAGAAGAAAAACCTCAATGAGAAGTGACGTGAAAGGAAGAAGAAAAAGAGAGAGAAAGCGAAGAAGAAGGAAACGTGAAAGCAAAGAGAAAGAGAGACCGTTGAATGACGAGAAGGCATATAAGAAAAAGAAAAATGTGAAGAAGAAGAAAAACGTAAAAGGCTCATATGATCCACACTAAAGATAGAGTTGGATGTGGTGAACTACAGATTGGAGGAAAAACAGTTCCGACACAACATCTTTAGAAAAATGTGAAAGGCTCATGAGCTTTCCTTTTACGAAATAGTGTGTGCGGAAAGTTGATAATGTGAAAGATTATGATAAACATTTATGTTTCTATTTATTTTTCATGAATACTTTTAATTTACATTTTCGTTATATATTAGTAGATTTGATTTTTTTTATCTTAGTCAATTTTGTAGCATTAAGGATTCTGGTTTGAAAAATATCTCTACATGTGGATCTTAAATCGAGTATACATGTAAAAGTGAAAAAAAAAAACAGTTATGACATGACCTCTTTATGGCAACGTTTAGTTCATATGTAGCTGAAACTTGATGACAAGATTTCTCACTTTTTGGGATGAACCATTTTTGTATAAGAGATGTTGTGATGGTCTTTTTAGGATGAATGAAGTCATTACCAATCTATACTATATAAAAGTCGAGGCTATAAGCTCCTCAGGCCGTCCACGTGGGATTTAGAACGACCAATCGTGGTTTGCCATCTCGCTAATTAGCTGTTATTTAGGTTTTATTAATTTTGTATATTTTAGATTTTTGTAAAATGAAAAAAGCAACATATGGAAATAAAAATAAATATTTGAAAATATAAAATTTATGGGAAAGACTTAATGAACGGATTAATGGCTGGTCAGCTAAATATCTGTCAAAAGGTGGGAAAGAGACGATGATTAAGTCAGTTGTGTTGGCTCTGCCAAACTATGTGATGTCTTGTTTTAAACTTCCTCAAGAGTTAATATCTAAGTTAACAAGTGCAATCTCAAATTATTGGTGGAGTTCCAATGGGAGAGACCGTGGGATCCATTGGATTGCTTGGGAAAAATTGTGTATGGATAAAGATAAAGGTGGTTTGAGCTTTCACTCTCTAGACACGTTTAATGATGCCATGTTGGCAAAACAGTACTGGTGATTAATACAATTTCCAAACTCCTTAGTAGCTCAAGTACTAAAAGGTAGATATTTCAGGAATATTCATCCTTTACAAGCAAAAAAAACAAACTCTCCATCGTTTGGATGGAAGAGTATATTTTCGACCAAAAGCTTGGTTGAAGTGGGAGCAAGATGGTCCCTAGGTTCAGGTTACAACTTATCGGTCTGGAGAGATCCTTGGCTTCCGGATGTTACTCCACGTCCCGCAAATGGAAGAGGAAAATTGTTACATCCAAATCTAATGGTAAACCATTTAATTAATCTGGTTACTAAAGAATGGCACCTTCCTATTCTACATGAATTTCTGGATCCGGTGGATATTCAATTAATTCGAGGACTTACTATTAGTCAAGTTCAGAAGCCAGATAGGCTTATTTGGCATCATACAAACTCAGGGAGATATATAGTAAAGTCAGGCTATCGGCTTGCCCGAGGGATGACTGAATCGATTGAATGGGGTCCAAATTGTAAAATTTTACAAGCACAACCTTGGAAAGTCAAAGCCCCTCCAAAAATAAAACATTTTTTATGGCAAATCGCTTCGGGATCCTTAGCAGTAACTTCAAAATTAGCTCATCGAGGGATTCGGTGTGATATTACCTGTAAAAGATGTGAGATGGCAGAGGAAACAATTAATCATGCTTTATTTGAGTGCCCACATTATCAAAAAGTCTGGGAATTATCCGAAATACCTATGGTATCAGGTAGTTTTCCTCTAAGGTCGGAATTCTCTAATCTAGACTATCTTTATTGGAGGATACCACATCCTGTAGATGGGGCGGAGAAATCTTACTGTTATGCTTGGATTTTGTGGTTTATATGGAAAGATAGAAATAAGAAGGTTTTCAAAGGAATACAATCTGAACTCACAGATATTTTAAATCACGCTTTGAGTGAAAAATTAATGTGGGAAGAAGCTCAATTAGATCCAATGGAAGATAACACTATGACGGAAATTATGGAAACTATGGGTATAGGATGGTGGTGTTTTCAAGGAACTGATCAAACTTTGCTGCTTGGTGCAAAATGCCTTCGGAGATGTCCCTCCCCCCTTCACTCGGAGTTGGAAGCTTTAATTTGGGCTATGAAGAATATCCTTTCAAGAAGAATTGAATGTCAGCTTTTGAAACAGATTGTTCTGAGTTAGTCTCGATGGTTCAGTCTCCTGAAGAATGGCCCGCATTCTCCAATCTGCTAGACGAGTTGGAGTTGCTCCGTGTCTCTTTTCCCTTTTTCTCGCTTTCTCTTATTTCTCGTTTATGTAATATTAAGGCGGACTGTTTAGCCCGTTCTTCTAGACTTCTGTTTTCTGATGTTACTTTTGTAAACTCTTCTCCTCCTAGTTGGGCAACCAATCATGGAGTTACTTTTTAATGAATGTGTGGTTGATTAAAAAAATATATATATATAAAATTTTCTAAATATTTTGTCATGGAAATACATAAAATAGAAATAATCAATATGTAACATTTTTAAAAATTATTAAATTTATAAACGAAATATTTAAAAATATGGAAAAATATCAAAATATAAATTTTTTTAATGAGAGAAAAAAATGTTGAATATTTTGTTTAAATAAAAATATTTATTAATTGGAGAAAATATGACAATATAATGAAGCAAGATGTATATAAAAGTCAAAGCTATAAGCTTTTGGGATTGTTTACGTAGGATTTTAACCGACCAATTGCGGTTAGCCATCTCACTACTTAACTTTTTTTAAGATTCTATTAATTTTCTGTATTTTAGATTTTTGTAACAAGGAAAAAAAGCAACATATAAAAATAAAAGTAAATATTTGAAAATATGGAAAATGTTCTAACTATCAAAATCTAAAGTTTTTCTTTTATAAAAGCTTATTAAGTTTATAAAAAAATATATTTAAAATATGGAAAAAAATATTGAAATATAAATTTTGCAATCGAAATACACACACAAAAAATAAGTATTTAGTTTAAAATTTATTAATTAAAAATATATATATATATATATTTATTAAAAATAATCAGGCGTTATTAGTCTCACTAAATTCATTAGTATTTCATCTTAAAAATTTAATCATAATAGCTATCTCAGTTATTGATATTTTAAAGACTTATGAATTTTATATTAAAAATATTTATAGATACGAAAAATATGACTATATATTGAAGCAAGATGTATCTAAATTTTTTTTATTGGAATACATAAAATAATTCATATTAGTCTCACGAATTTGTTTATATTCTATTTATACATTCATTAAAATCTATCTATCCACACATAAAATTATTAGCATCCAATCACAATTATCTATCTTATTAATTAAAAGTTAAAGCTATATAAAAGCCGAACCTATAAGCTTTTGAGGTCATGCATATAGGATTTAAAACGACAAATAGGGTTTGCCCAAAAAAAAAAAAAAAAACGACAAATAGGGATTAGCCATTTTACTAATTAACATTTTTGAGATTTTAATAATTTTTCTATTAAGATTTTTGTAAAAAAAGAAAAAACTTTATATGGAAATAAAAGAATTATTTGGAAATATGGAAAATTTTATAAATATAATTTTTGATGAAAATATAAAATATAAATAATCAAAAATGTAAAGTTTTCTTTTTAAAAGTTTATTAAATTTACAAACAAGATCTTTAAAATATGGAGAAATTTCTAAATATAAGTTTTTACTTAATCATAAACAAATATAAGGCTTCCCATCAATTTATTAATTTAATATTCTATACTATTAATTGGATAAAACAAATATTTGTGAAAAAAAGGAAAGAGAAAAAATATATGGAAGAAAAGAGAAATAAAAATTATTGTTGTTGGAATAAATACGATAATTCAATATTGTCACAGTAAATTTTTAAGTTTGTTCACATCTATGTTGTCAAGCAAGATTTACATATATTTGTAAAGATATAAGCCCATTTGATTGTTGTTTTCCATGTAAGAAAAAATTTCAATTGGATATATATTATTGTTTAAAGAGTTTTAGATAAAAATTCTATTGTCGATCGATTATTTTCATGTTTATGGTTTTGTATTAGTATACTGCATGAGTTTAGTCACTAAAATCTTTAGAATAAATTTACATAATTTAGTGAAAAACACTACAGGAAATGTGGGTATTAATAGCGGCCGATAAACGCTATTATTCATCTACCATAGCGTTTCCTTAAGCGCTCTGACATCGCCCGTTATAGAAAGTCGGACACTTTAGATAGCGGACTTTGCGAATGCTATAGTTAATTAAACTATGATAGCATTTATGACGTTGCTATTATTAATATTTATAATAAGGTGTAATAATCGTTATGATTTTGTTTCGCCCTGGGCGTTCGGTTATCTCGGGTTAATCGGATCGGTTTATTCGGTTTATTGGTTTATTCTGTTTTACAAAATTCTGCCGAATTGTTCGGTTCGGGTCGGTTCGGTACTCACTTTTTTCGGTTCGGTTATAGGGTTTAAAATCAATTCCGAAAATAAACCGAATTTTTTTTTATCTCGGTTATTTTGAACCGAATTAGACCAAAAATAAAAAATGGATTACAAATATATAATACAAAACCCATTAATAAGCCTAACTAACAATTTTACAAACAAAAAGCCCAGAGCCCATTAACAAATTAGGGTTTTCAGTTTACACAAGTGGTTACGGTGACAAAATAACGGCACGGCGACGGCCGTTCGATCTTCCCGTCGGATGAAGCTTCCTACTCGCCGCCACAATGAGATCTGCTCACGTTCGATGAAGCTTGTTACTTGCCAGCTACAAAGAGAACAGTCCTCAACCGGATCTGTCGCCTACCATCTTCATCTTCAACTAAAATAAGAAAAGCAAAATAAAAGAATTATAAATCGATTCTCTCAGATTATCAAACCAATAAACAATTGTTAGATTCAGTTGAACAAATAAACAATTTTCTTTCAATTTTTGTTTATAAGAACCCATGGAAATTATAAATACCTTCGACAGACCATTCTTCTTCTTCGTCTTCTTCTTTGGTTCTCTCAGATTCGAGTCGGAGATGGCAATGAATTTCGTTAATCCTGCCAAAGGCAAATCTAAGACACCGGATTTAACCCTAAAAGCCTAACCGACGCAACCGGAGAATTGTTCTCGTTGTCACCACCCTCAGATGCGAGATCTGCCGATAGATATCCATCACGGAGATGACCGGACATGTAAAACCCAAATACACAATTGAAATCCACCTTGAGCCACCGTACTCTAACAGCTCGGAATCAATAAAAGTAGCAACCGTGAGCCACATGTGAAGAAACTGTAAGCAAACGTTTGGTTTTCTCATAAGAATGTAAGAGTTGAAGACTTGAAGGATACGAAGAAAAGAAGAAAAAGGAGAAGTTTTAACGAAAAAGAAAAAAAGCCTTTGTTGGGCGATGAACGGATGAGATTTTCTTAAACATGCAGCCGTCAAAGCCTTTGAAAGACTGAGATCTCGCCACATCAGCAATCCGAGTGAAACATTATGATTGGCTTATTTTGTTTATAGGCATAAAAATGTGTTTTTACTATTTATATAATTTTTAAAAAATTATATATTGACTAATTAATATGTTTATGAGTTATTTACATGATTATATAATTTTTTTCACAATTTAAAAAAAATATTTTGCAACGTTTTTAGAAATTTGAAGGTAACACATATGATTGCCTTAGAATACATGTACACTAATCTTCTTATTGTGTAAATCATATTGTTGAAACACATTAATGATGTTATAATTAATAAAATGATAGAATTCATTTATGTTATAATAGTATACTTTATATCATTAATATTAGCTACTATTTAAAACACTAAACCCTAAACCCTAAACCCTAAACCCTAAACCCTAAACTATTTTTAAAAATGAAATTTATTTATGTTATTATTTGTTATAATTAATATTATTACTATTTCAAACAAATATAATCAAAAAACCTAAACCATACATTTCATACCCTAAACCCTATACCCTAAACCCTAAACTCTATACCCTAAACTCTTTAAAATTATAACTTTGTTATTATTTTTGTAATTATTAATATTATAATTAAATATTTATGTCTTTTTGAGATATTTGGTTATATTTATTTATATTTCTTTTTTTTTTTAACTTTTCTTTTACAAAATTCGAAAATCATTTAAAAAATATTTAAAAATATTTAAAATCATTTAACTTGAAATCTAAAGTACATGCCTTAAAATAATTAATTCAATTTTTCCAATTAAAATGTTTTAAGTATGTGTTTTTGTGTTTAATATATTTTTGCCAAGGAGTTCAGAAACTAACTGCTACAGAAAATACAACAAATATAGAATTTGGATTCACATGTCCCCTTCAGCTCTTTCTCTTTGGCTGCATTGTTGTTTCTACGCTAATATATCAAAAAAGAGATTCAAAAATACAACTTTAAGCATATATAGAGAGAGAGTGAGAGAAACGGTTCCGATCCGGATCAAATTGATATTAAAAAAGCCTAAAATTAAGGTTTTTCAGATATTCAAAGATACAAACCAAGATCCTAGACAAGCCTTATAATCTATGATGCACGATATATAGCCATCAACTCAGTCACCAGCTGCTTGTCATCGTGATTCTTCACATATCTCTTTAAGAATACCAGATTGTTACATACTAAGACATATGATATCGAAGTGAGTTCTGCAGGATTACCCTGAAATGAACAACAAAAAGCAAATCACTGTTTCTTGTTTCCATGTAAAAATCAAAATGAAAGTAAGAGAATAGGGGAGTAACATACAGGATGACACATACTTCATCTTCCTTTAGCTCTCCGGTGGGATCTACTGTGCCCATAAGATAGTATGATTCGGTCACAGGAAGACTTCCTGCTTTGAGATCATTCTTCTCTGTATTTACGAGAATAGACAGATGATTCTTCAAGTGTGGTTCGTCAAGGGGGATACCAACCAAGATCATGTTTGCAGCGTTCATGTCATCCATTTCCCCATAATTGATGGCAGCTGCACATGCAAATTTACTTCTTAAAAGATCTATCAAGAGTCACATCTTAAATTACATAACTCAGTAGTAAATTATCTTTCTTACAAGGAACCAAAAAGCTTGGAGTTTTAAGACAATTTACTATGACTTTATCACTATTCTGATAATAAGTTCAAAGGATCACACACTCAAATAAATATGACATTCACTCACATGCATCAACACACTAGAAAGAAAGTAAAGAAACAAAGAGTAATAGTCACACTTCACTAAACTCTCTCTAGTTTATAGCCTGATCTACAAACACAATTATCAAATCCATAATTTAACACTACGATTTGAAACATACGAATCAAAATTTAAAAAGTGTAATCAACTGATCATCAATATACCCTCAGCAACAATATCAGTTCCATTCCAAGCAAAGATGTTGTAAATCGGTTGTTCATCAGAGTCCTAAAGAGTTATGCACCTATTAGTAATATAATTGATATTGATAGTTTAAACAATGGCAATATTAATAATTTAGATATATACCATGTTATGCTCAGTTGGAGAGTTGTTGTCTGATTCCCCGACAACAACTTCATCTTTTGAAAACCAATCCAATATCTTACACTTAATTCCTCCTTTGTTTGTGTTTGATACATTAGATTGAGCATCCAAATCAGCACCAGATAGCTACCAAGAGGAAAAATAATTGGTTACAAACTATTATGACCATTGTGATAAACAAATGTGAAACTTACTTTTTTCCAGCTAAACAATGAAGTTGACTCTGCAAATCTTCAATCTTGGTAGCCATTTCTGCTTGTGTAGCCAGAAGCTTCTGAACATGTGAGTCTCTAGCGTTAAGAATATCCAGCTTGTTCAGACTAATCCCAAAGCTTTCGATGAAGGATAACCCAAAGCTTTCGATGAAGTATTCACAAATTGATTTGCACCTTCAACATACTCAATGCTATTCCTGTAAAGAAAACCATGAAGTCCAAATATCAATGTAACTCAATAACACATTTTAAAATTAAAAGTATAAGAATATGATAGAGTTTCATACCTAGGTAACCAAACCCATGACTTCTCCATATTACCAAACACAACACAGCTCCTCGACCAGTTATATACAATAAAAATTCAATTGATCAGACATTCAAGTTACTAACATATTCAATCTCCTTAACAAACATGGCCGAACAAAAATAGAACAACAAGGAGAGAAAGGATTCACAATCTTACGATTAAGCTCAAGTCTTCTTGGACAAAGGATTTGTAGAATCTGCAAATAACAAGAACAACAAATCAATTACTCATGGAAACAAGTCGAATTAGAAAACGTGAACCAAAAAATTAAAAATCCCTAATTAATACCTTAGCCAAATCTGACCCAAAAATCTGCAAAAATCAGAAAAGTTTTGGAGAGGATTAGTATATGTGAAACCCAAATTAACCAAAAATAAACCTAAATCGACATTGAAGAAGAGATAAATGGAAGAGGGGAGTCAAGATTGAAGAAGAGACATGGAAGAGGGGAGTAGATTGAAGAACGATACAAACCTATGAAAGTGGATCGGAATAACGACGACGGCGGAATAACGACGACGGCGGCGGAATAACGACGACGGCGGCGGAATAACGACGGCGACAGACGGCAAAGAGAAAGAAAGCTTGGGCACGATCGAGAAGAAAGCTTCGGCACTAGAGAGAAATAAAGAAAGCTGGGGAAAGTTTTTTGTTTTTTTCTAAGTGTTTTGGCTTTTTGCCAACACAAAAATTAAAACAAGCGGGCAACTAAAAATTTATTCCCGCTTATAACCTATTATAACACTAAACGCTATAAAAAAGTAGTGTGTACCTGATTTATAGCAGAAAATTAAAAAACGCTATATTTAAGTGCTATGGTTGTTCACATTTCTTGTAGTGAAAAGTATATATAATAAATTGTATTAGAATATTGAATGAATTTAATCACGAAAATCTTTGAGACAAATTTACATACTTGGATAAAAAAAATTAGATATCGTAAAGATGAGTAGGATAATAAATTGGTAAAATATGAAACAAAATCAATGATAAAATGGCATACATATAGTCAAAAAAATTGTTTTAGGCAAAACAAAACTCGCCAACATATTTGTTCTTAGTTATTATGAATATTTTGAAAAAGGTTAGGTGAATTATGTGTATGAAAAAGAAGAGCCAATTACATTCCAGTATCTATATCTATAAATATTGTGCTGACTAATTAAAATATTTTCTTTAAGAGATATAAAAGCACTATGATGTGATTGCAAATCACGAAAAAATTGTTGAGATGATAATGAACATTTATGTATATGAATACCATCTAAAAATTGAAGTGAAAGGAGAAGAAAAATACAAAAAGAGATGTTATCGGTTAAGATTTTTGGAAGAAAGTAATAAAAAAATATAGATAAATGGAACGGATATGACAATATAGTTCTCTGTGTGTGTGGGTGTGGGTGTATTAATATTTTTATTATGATACCCCTATTTGCCAATCAAAAGAAGTACATAAGACTTTTGTAAGGAAATAGAGTGAATACTTTAATTTTGTATTGTGAGATAATTTGCTAATATAGTAAAGGGTTTTGGTAATTTTAATATGTTTGGACTTTTAAGTTTTAGTTTTATCAATTAAGCGTCTCTAAAATTCTACGGGAAACATCAATTTGATTGAGAACCATATATCATGGCACAAAAGTAGACAATGAAACCATTTTACTTTATGCGATGAGTCTTCAAATGTCAAGTAAATACCAACTAATGTTTTAGTTAATATTTTCTACATTTTATACTTGAAATAAAAAATTTCGTTTCAATAGAAATTTTAAAACTTAAAAATCTATAAGTTCTTTTATATATTGGATGTATATTATTAACAACATCAATATATAAAAATAAAATTTTGACAACTATCATTAATCGATATATTTCACCAAAATATTAGAACAAATCCATGTGTAGCGTGGATATCATTAATTATTATATTTCACCAAAATATATAGAACAAACCCACGCGTAGCGTGGGTTCAAAACCTAGTCTATACTATATAAAAGTTGAAGCCATAAGCCTCTCAGGCCGTCCACCTAGGATTTAAAACCACCAATCGCGGTTAGACATGTCATTAATTAGCATTTTTAGATTTTTGAAATTGTCTATATTAAAATTTCAGAAAAAAGGAAAATAAAAACAATGATGTGGTTAAAAAAGAATTTTAACTTTTTCAAAAATGAAGACAATTTTCTATATTAAAAGTTTTGTAAAAAAGGAAAAAGGCAACATAAGGAATAATTAACATTTTTAATTCAGATTAAATAACATTTATAAATTATAAATATTTTCTATAACATTTTTAATCGCTAATTAACATTTTTAGCCATCACCTCAATTGACATTTTCAAATTCTCATATTTTCTATATTGAAATACTTGTGAAAAGGAAAGCGATAATATAGGAATCTTAAATTTAAGAGAAGTTTTTGTTACAATAAATATTTGTAAAAAGAAAGAAATGCATAAAATGTTTAAATAGTTTAGTAGATTTAAATCACTTAATGTATGTGTATATATTTGATGGCTTGAGAATCAAGAAAGTAGCGTAAAATGTAAAACTTCCAATTTTCCTTAGTGAAAAATGTAAAATATACACATCTTCCCGATTTATTTTCCAAAAATGTTAATTTTGTGATGAGAATACGTGTATATAAGCATAATCTCTACCGGAGAAGAATAAGAAAAAGACACAAAACAAAGTTAAAAAAAGAAGAAATATTGGTGTGGTGAAGTCAAAGAGCAATATGCATATTAGTTACCTTTTAACCTTCGTGATTGTTCTTCTGAACTCCATCTCGGCTATTATGGTGCTTTGCTTCTACGCCAAACTATGTGTCAAATGTTGTGTCCGCGAGGAAGAGTCGTCTGCTACAATCAACTATTAAGATAAGTTAGATTTTGGTTGGCTTCTTTATTATTTTAAGATGAGTTAAGTTTTAGATTAGTAACCTAAAACATAGCAGACCGGTACTGCGGTTGATCGTACCATCAAGAGAGCAGAAGGTTCAACATTCATAATAATATTGTCGATTCTGTCATCGAAGAAGAGCCAATCGTAAAACAGAGTGAGCTTAGCACTTTGTTCGGTGTGATGATTTTGCCTACACAGTTCCAGAAACCTACCTATAGGCTATAGTTACCCATCTTGGCATGATCTCTTATCGGATGATTTTGTTAGTTGGGTGAACTACACAGCAAATGAATCGGACTATGTCGATCAAAAGTGTTTGTTTTTCAAGACCAGATTGAAATTTCTTCAAGAACCATATTTGATGCCGTTTCTGGCTTCCCAATCTAACATCTCAGGAGTGATCCAGAGAAGGACTTACCTACTTGAAGTCTTTAACCGATAAAACTGCGAAGTGTCAGAGTAATGGTTTGAGACCTTATCGTTCCATATGTCTTCAAATTCAGAGACGTAAACTAGGTCCTGCAACAACCGGACAAGATCCCTTCCAATTTTCAAACTCAAGTGCAGTTGCTCTCTAAACATTATGACACAGAATTTGATCTCCAGTCTCTTCACATGTTCCAGTTTCGCAATGCCTGAGACACTACAAGGATCGGCTAATAAATGAAGAAAACTATACATGGCTAGGATATTTAGATTTAAAAATTACTATTAGTCTCATTAAATTTGAATAGGTTAATCAATCAAAAGATAGGTGAAAAGTTCAAAAAAAGTATTTAATCAAGAGGTACCTAACATGTTTACGTCTATTCTATTTTTTCATTTCATTTAAATATCGATTGATTATGTTTTAAGTTTGATATTCGGATATTATATTATTTTAATCACTAAATTTTGAATTGTTTTAAAAATGAGTAAAAATGATTGAGTTAGTTACTGGTAAACAAAAATAAACAACATTTTATCACGGTGTGCCACCTAAACAAAAGATTTTTGCTAGAAAACATAATATATTGAAAAGATTTATTGTTTAAGATAATGTAATAAAAAATAAATTAAACAAATTTTATTTTTGCAATAACAAAAAAAATGAAAGATAATATTATAGGAACTATCATTAGTAGTATATGATTTCGTCAAAATATTTAAAATAAATGCAAAAATGTTGAAATATATTACTCTAAATCTGTTTGATTAATAACAAAAAAGTACTAATAGATAAGAGCGAACACAAGTATGCCCTAACGTGTACATATTTTGGTTGTTTAATTTCAAATATTTTGTCAAAATAATGTATTATTAATCAATCAAGAGGTAGTAGGCTAAGAAAAACAAAAACAGTATAAAATATGTAAGACTTTAACTAATATGTGTGGAGGAGGTTCTCGAAGAAATTAAAAAGATACTAATAAACAATATAAAGTTGCTCGACGATATTATTTTTATAAATTTTTATAAAAATTATAAGTTGTTCGAACAACTTAAAGATCTTACATATTTTATACTGTTTTCATAAAATATGTAAGAAACACATATTAAAAGACACTAATAAACAGTATAAAAAATATAAAATTCTTTGAAGAAATTATGTGTTTTATATGATGTGCCTTCAAAGACTATATTAGTATCAATAGAAGGTAATTAACTAAAATAAGTAGAAAAGATAATAATTTATAATATAAAAAATTAATGATAATTTTAATCAATATATATTTTAGATTTACGTTATGGTTTTCTTAATGGTGTATTTGAAATATAAATTTTGCTCGAAAGTAATCAAAAAATATTTAGTGATGAAAACGCTATAATACATCAGATTTCTAATATTATACCAACTTTGTCCTAAAGAATTTATTTTCTTATTAAAAAAAAATTTTAAACAACATAAATGATTCTAAGAATATAAAGAAAAAATAATTATGTTAAAAAGAATAAAAAATAAAAGATTATAGTACTTTTGTATTACTATATGTCAATATATAGCTACTAAAATAATTACTAAACCTAAAATTATATTAAAACAATAGATACAAACAAACCCCTGCGTAGCAGGAATTAATAACCTAGTAAGCATTATAAAAGAGGAAAGGTTTGAACCTCTAACCCTTCAACGCTTCAATTAAGAAAGTTACCAATTCCAATGATGTTTGATGCTACAAGTATGGGCTTGGCCCGCTTGTACCTAAGGCTAGCTCTGAGCAAAATTACTACAACATATTCGCAAGTATATTCAAAATTCCAAACCTTATCTTTTGTAAAGCAAATGTGAGTTTAAAAGTTCGATATAGTGTTAACACCTAACGGAGAGAAAAAAAACTAAGAAAATTTCTCATTCTAATTTATATAGAGTATTAAAGATTCAAACATACAATGCAATGTCGTAGCACCAATACCTTTCATGTTAAAATAAACAATGACGGTTTTGAGTATTTACACTTTTGATATTCACATAAATGTCTTCATAAACCATTGTCTCATGTATGTACTAAAGAATGCAAAGAAAAACGAGAATTTACTGATTCGACTCGTGGGAGGCCCAAAACGAGGCCGAGACAAGACGCCGAGATTTCCATCCCAAAACTAGCCCGTTTTGGCCCAATTCTTCCACTATATACCCATCATTAAACAAGCTCAAAAGGAGCTTTGCTTGACAACGGTTGGCAAAGCTCACTTCCATTGGTTTGAACCCATTAGTCTCTAACCACTGTGGCCACGAAGCTAAGCTCTCGACTTCTGCATCATCAGCGGTGATACGCGTCAACCAATTAGCAACCCACGGGCCGATAAAAACACGCTCAACATAGCCACGGGCCGGGTTAGCGATTGAAAGGCCTGCTTCTAGAGAGTCGAATATGGCTGAGAACTGATGTAGCAAGTCCATAAAACGATATAGGAAACCTTGGTTCCCCATTAGACCAACTTCCTCGTGAACAAGCGTGACAAGTTTCGGGTTTAGAGTTTTAGCTTCTGATAAAAAGGAAATGACAGAATTGGGTGTTTGGTTTCTAAACCGTGGAAGATGCAACATACAATTGATTACCACTGCTTCTCCTCTTACAAGTTTCAAGGATGATGTGCTGAATGCATTGGTGTCGAGTTTACAGTGGTGATATGAAAATGGCTGGCCGATAGACTCGGCAAACGCAGTTAGACGCCGCCCAGTCTCTTGAACTGCAGCAATGGATTTTTTACCGTTGGTGGCTCGTGACAAAGCCGTGATCCTAAGATGTTGGGCTGATGGGCCTGTATTTTTAGACACCAAGGCCTGCATCAATGAAGCCCACTGAACGCCTTCAGTTATATCGTAGTCCACTATATGGATTCGACGCTCATACTTCACAGCTTCTAGAATAGCTTGTGTGGCCGTAAGGTAACCAAAGTTGACATACGGAGACATGTTCTGTAGCAGTTCGAACGCCGAGATCACATCCGCCTGATCATAAACATCATCACGATGTTGTTGGGGACGCAGAACAATATCTCGTTCGAACAATTTTGAAAGCCCATTGGTGAAGTGCGCAGCTAATCTCTCCATGTTAGTTCGGTCACCAGGAGAAACCAAGTCCTTAAGCCTTGCAAGTATAACTCGAGTTAACTCCCGCGACTTGTTTGCACCAGTTGACGCCTCTGCAGCAGCCACCAGTAAGTGAACCAACCTCAAGCCCTTTGATTCATCAGTCTTAGGCTCCTCTACACTAACCCCATCAGCCAGGGATAAACTCGTGGACGCAGAGTTACAAAGTCCCTCCTGGCCATGAAGCATTGGAACAGATTCCGATTCAGGTTCCATCATGGCCCCTTCATCACCCATAATGGATTCAATGACATCGCGGAAGTCACAGTCCCAATCAATGTCAAGATCATTCAATCTATAACCACAAGAGGAGGTACTTGCAGCCGTGGCAAGCGTGTCGGTGTTGGTAGAGAAGAAGAGGTCCAAGAAGTCCTCGTAAGGATAATCCATGGTCATGCAGGTAAAAATGAAGAAACGGGCAATGCAGAATTATATAGATAGTGTAGTAGGACCCAAAAGGGTAAGAGTTCTATATTTTTAAGTAAATATTTAAAGTCAAATCTAAAGTATATGGTCCCCTTTCAGGGAGGTCGAACAACCTGTGGTCCTTGTAAGAAGCAGCAGGACCACTGTGATCATGAAAATAAACAAACAAAAACAAGTGAGAATTGTTAGTCAAACAAATGTTTATATGTACAAATATGATCAACAGGGAAATTAAAACAAACAAGTGAGAATTGTTAGACCAATCATACTAATCAACCTCCAATATAACCTAACTAGTGACAGTTTAAAATAAAATATAAGTGCACGGACTATAAATTTCATATGAAAATACATATAGATATAGCCAGATTTGCTGAGCAGAGAAAACCTAAGTGCCAAACAGAAAAAGACAAGAGATTATTGAGATTTTATTTACATCTAATCAATTCATTCAAGAGACAGCACACCAAGAAAATTAATTAAGATATTAACTCCGAATCGTCCTCACAATCTATTGACCACTTTGATTAGGCTTAACAATTGTGGACTTAGCAAACACCAGAACTTATCTCCGAATCGTCCTCTATGACAGGAAGTTGGAACAAGTCACAAGTGACACAAGCAGTGACGCAAATTTATTAGTTTACAAGTTTTGTTCTAGCTACAATCTAATTTCACATAAATATATAACCAGACCTTGTCATATGTTTAGAACCAAATCCTAAACTCTCCAATAGTTAAATTGAATAATGCTAGCTCTTCTATAACTGTCAGAAGATTATACATATTTCTATCCTTAAAATCATTTAATAAGATATGAAGGTGCTTCAGGATACATCTAGACTCATTTAACAAAGTCATAAGCCCATTTTTAAGGACTTAAAAGAACCCAGTTGGTTGGTTTGTACCTTGGTAAAGCATGAATTGATATTTTTATATGTCCTAACTGTTCACGCAGAGGGTAATCCTTTCTGGTTAACCGTGGCATGAACCGTTCTGGCCGCTGCCACTGCTGAGTCTCCTCGTTTCACTATTTTCTCGAGTTCTTCCACCTTCTCTGACAACAATCTAGCATTTGTGGTTGTGGCATGGACCAACTTGTTAGCAGTTTCTAGGGAAGTGCAGAGCTGAAATTGAAGAAGGAACAAGTAAAAACAATATTTTATGTATATCTCTCTTGACAAGCCACGGAACATTTCATTTGCATTTCCCTATTCTAAGAAAAACATATCTAGAGAATCTCATATTATATATATCTTGAG